TAATTTTTAATGGCGCGTCCAGTTGTCGTTAAAGAAAATCCGTTACGCGATTGGTTGGTTGGTCGGTCGGTGGAAGGCTCTCGTATCATGTGTCAATCGTTTGTCGCCTACGTCGTGGCAAGTGTTAATTTGTAAGGTAGGATTCGATGCGTTGCGACGGTTGCGAAAGTGCTGTTCGTTTCCGCTGCTGATCGTTTGACCAATCGGCGGAGCGTTGTATGGTCATTGGTCGAATCGTGGAATGTCGATGAATAGAGAAATGATATTTTAAGGCATGAATGAAAACATTGTACGATGTACACGCATTGCCATCTATGGTATGTTCATTACCTAGAATGATCCAAAAAACATCTTTTTGCCATTCTTGTTCTTTACTGTTTAACTGATGAATTCCTTCCGTGATGGTCCTTTCCTAAATCTTACGATAGTCATGCTGTTATTAGGCATGGATCTCGAAACATAAGATGATGAATTTAGGATGGTTAATAATTTTCAGAAGGTATTATCATTTGGGGGCGCGATAACCGGAATTTACGTAGGCCGAGTAGCGTTCGACCTCGGTATGTTGAATGCAGTTGGCATTATCTCGGTTTGGTAACCAAGCGGTAGACCTTAAACGGTTGACGCGCGGCCTTAATGACTTTACAAATCGTATCGTTTTTCTGCTGCTAGGCCTGAAATGAATAACGGACTTGATAAAATGAGTGAACAGATGATTTATGTTCGTGGTTGACAGCTCTGTGCCTCTTGTTCGAGATGAGCTCTGGCAATTATGTGATTATTGGCGCAAATGGGAGACAGCGTTTAGGGTGAATTAATTTTTTTTAGTCAAAGTAACAGTCTAAACCGGTTTCTTTCCGTTTATGTGTGTAAGCAGCCAATTCGTGTTATTCTTCTGGATTTATGTTCGTCTTCGTCAGATCGTAGCAAGTAATAATAACAATTCGTAGTAATGTAGGTGAAAGGAACTTACATGTGCTATTTTTAGAGGGATTTTATGACCGATTCCGGGGTTGTGATTAAACAGATAAATGTTTGTATGAAGCAAATGGTTTGTTACATTTTCTGAAACGTACTTAAAACTTGAACATTAGTATTGTTCATTTTCGGCACTTTGGAATTTCCATCAGAGCTAAAGTAGCATCGATTGAAACTGAAGTGCGCAGGGTGGTTCCAGTAGCCGAACTGCTTTGATTCGCAACTACTTGGGCGTAATTCGAGGTGGCTGATGGCGTCAGACGAGGCTTCCATATGCAGCCTTGTTTTATGGAATTAGATCGTGGTCTCGAAACCGAACGGCATGCTTTTAGTCTCACGCTTTCCTCTGCCAACGAACAAAGCCCAGCCGACCGACCGAACGGCACACCTTCATTCCCATACATACTTCGTACATATCGGTTGATCGGAATTTGTCGCGACCATTGGAAAGTTGTTTTTTGCCGACTGACCGACCAACGGTTTTTGTCTGAGGTCTTCGCGATTTGCTTTTCAGCAGGCAGAGTTCTGGCCAAATGAAATTGGGGCGTTTTAGAGTCGTGTTTTTTGTGAAACATGCTGTACCTGTATCTTTTATCTTCAGAATCGCCAGTCTTTGATCGCACCGGGGGGGGGGGATTGCTGATGTTAACTTTCAGAGGACACACTGTTGCCTTCCTCAATTTACGTTTGCTTTAAAGCCTCGCTGCTGCTGCGAAGCTCCTCCTGGCGCAGAGCTCCCTTCGCGTTGTGTTTGCTGGTTGAATGACATTTGACATACACTATTTACGTTTTATAGTAGATTGGTTATTTATCGGTAGTACTTTATTCTTGACACTTCTTACACAGATATTGCGTATGCTTGTTTGCTCATTGTGTGGGTAGTCCGTCTGTCGTGCTTTTGCCTCTCAAATGGACATATCTGCTCAAACACGAAAATCCGTTCTCTTTGTTAGCTTAGAAATTGACTGGTCAGATTAGATTATTAATCGGCTTCACCGTATTACCGTAGACTCCTTGGCATCACTAACCGATTAAACTAGAGGCACTTCCGGTGTGGCGTAGGTGATCATTGCCAAAGTGATGGTGATCGTACGGGCTAATGAATCTGACAGTGTCTGATGTAGCGCACAACTCGATGATTTATGGCGCCGTGTAGTCGACTTGTCATCGACATCGGTTCTTGTTGCCGTCGACAGCTTCCGCGAAGAATCTCGTAAAGACGTCGTGCTTTCTTCGTTGTTTTGAATCATTGGGCGTTATTCTAAGGAAGTTGCTATTTACGAACGTCCTTCGATTAAGTGTTCTGCCTCTTGGTGTTGTTTTATGTGTTGAGTTTTTTGTCGCGTTGTGCCGCACCGGCCTTCGCATGCTTGCG